TCAAGGTTAAAAGTTTTATCTACAGTTTTGCTCAGAATTTAGCCAGAAACAGAAATGGTCTGAAGCAGTTTGAACAGTCTAATGTCTGCAATATGCCCCTACAAGTACAATTGCTTTCAAGATTTCAGGGCAATAAATTAACTATTACAACATTACCAAAATTGTATAACCAAAATATTCATTAAATATCTGTAATAGAATTTTTCACCTTGATGCTGTGTTTGATGTAACACTCTTAAATCTGATTTATTTGACAGCAATTGGGTAGAACTTATTATCACATTCATTAAGGAATATGAATTAAATTTTGACCTTAATTATGTAACTAACCCTTACCAAACACAAATGAGATAGCTTCCTGAAGCCTGGATATTCTAATGAAACTGTGGGAGTTACTTTAACTTTTATCATTGGGCAAAAGTTGGCAAACATAAACGAATAAAGACATTTAGGCTCTAGTCAAGAATAAAAAAGTCATATATTAGACAAAGACAAATGAATCTCTTGAACAGTATAAAGAGTGCAGGGACATTCTTAAGTGGGAGATCAAGAAAGCAAAGAGGGGATATGAGATAGCCTTGGCAGATAAGGTTAAGGATAATCCAAAGAGATTCTGTAAATGCATTAAGAGCAAGAGATCAACTAGAGAGAGAGTTGAACCCCTTAAAGATCAAAGAAGTCATCTTTGTGTTGAACCTCAGAAGATGGGAGAGATATTAAATGAATATTTCACATCAGTTTTCAGTGTGAATAAAGAAGTGGAGGCTAGGAAACTCAGGAAAATAAATATTGATGTTTTGAAACTTGTTCATATTACAGAAGAGGAAGTGCTGGAGGTCTTGAAAAACATATAAAGATGGATAAATCTCAGGGACCTGATCTAGTGCACCCCAGGACATTGTGGAAAGATAGGGAGGAAATTGTGATGCCCCTTGCATAATTATTTCTGTCATCTACAACTATGGGTGAGGTGCCAGATGACTGGGGAGTGGCTAATTTTGTGCCTTTATCTACCATGTTAGTTTCCATTCTGAAAACAAATCTCCATTGGATTTGTTGAACACAATTCTCCAGTCATAAAACTGTCGTGACTCTACCTAATCATATTATGATTTTCCAAGTGCTTGTTACCATGTCCCTCATTATTGATTCCAGCATTTTCCCGACTGTTATTGTTATCCTCTAAAATTGTTAAGAGCAGCATCTAGGTTGATAGTTTGTAAATCTTTACTGACATTTTGTCCCATGACCAGATCATATCTCTCTGGCTGGTGTCTCTCTTATTATTTTCTCAACTGTCTTGGAGGTCACATCCGTCACAGGACATGCTTGAAAACATGTCATTTCTAATCATTTAACAATTTGCCACATATTCTATTCTCCAGTCAGGTGCACAGAGGCAGGTCTAATCACTGCTATGTGAACTTGAATTTAAAAAAAAAATAGCTGCCTGTTCTTCCCATTTTCCAGGGCTTGGAATGTGGGATGAATTGGGAGTCAGTGAGGAGGAAGGTATTAGGTTACAGACAGACATAAATTTGATTGGCCGGATGGGGCAGATTAATTGGGGAATGGAATTTAACCCTGACAATGTGAGGTGATGCGCTTTGGAAGAAGGAACAAGACAAAGGAGTACTCAATGATTGGCAAGACACGATGAGGCTCAGAGGAACAGAGAGATCTTGGGGTGCTTGTCCACAGACCCCTGAACATGGTAGGAAAGAGTAGTTAAGAAGGCATATGAGGCACTTGACTTTATCAGTCATGGCAGAGATTATAAAAGCAGAGAAGTCACGAAGGAGCTGTACAGAACTTTGGATAGACCACAATTTGAGCACAGTGTTCAGTTCTGGTCAGCACATTATAGAAAGGATGTTACTGCACTTTAGCGGGTACAAAGCAGATTCAGAATAGAGTATTCCAGCTACGAATAGAGAGGTTGAATAAGCTTGTGCTATTTTCCTTGCAGCAGAGAAGTTTGAGGGGGAATCTGATTGAGATGTATAACATTAAGAGGGGCATGGAGAGGATGAATAGAAACAGCTGTTTCCCTGAATTGAAGGGTCAGTAACCAGGGGGCATAATTTTAATGTGAAAGGCAGGAAGTTTAGAGAGAATTTGAGCAAAAGCTTTTTCACCCAGAGGATGGTGGAGAAATGGAATGCACCACTTGGGATGGTCACTGAGGCAGGAAACCTCACAATCAGTAAATAGCACTTGGATAGACACTTGACGTGTCAAGATATTCAAAGCTATAGTGTGGGGCCTCGTGGGACTAATTTGGGAAAGTGGGAGTGGGGTAGGTCACAGTGTATTTTTTGGTGTTTCAGACTTGATGGGCTGAAGGGCCTCTTCTATACTGTATGATTCAGGCAGGGCAGCCCAGGAAGAGAAGATGCAACTTTTCATTCTCAAATCAGGCTGGGCAAAATACCTGACTAGGAACCCTGACATTACAATGGAAATTTAAATATAAAAATTAAAACATGAATTATGTCTTCTGTTCTCTGTGCCTCACTCTTCAATCCCATCCATGCCAACTCATGCCACCTAAAGTTCTGTACCTACCTATGGGCTCAATACCTTTAACACCAACTGATAACACATTCAAACAGGTTAAAAGTCATTGGAATTCTTACCTTGGTGTTGAGAAAATTAAGAAATAAGACAATAGAATGGAAAAGTAAAATTGATACTAAAGTTTAACAATGGTCTTACTGAACAGTGAAAATGCTCAGTGGACCATTCAGCTTCCTCCTGCTTTTATTTCTTACATTCTTAACATTTGAATTGTTTATCTGTCTATTGGCTTAAGAGGCATTAAACAAAATAATGCGTGGGGCAAAGCAGGAGAGTGGCAAAGTAAAAACTTAAACACAGGTGGCCCTGAGAAAGGGCCTGGTGGGGTTGATGCTCAGCAACCTTTTCACTGGCCAAGCAACCTAACAAACGGGGTCTCAAAATAGGTTGAGGGGCCAATGATTTAAGACTGAGATGAGGAAAAATTTCTTCACTGAAACATGTGAACCTTTGGAACTCTCTACACCAGAGGATTGTTAATACAGCTTTATTGAATATATTTAAGGCTGGTATAAAAGATGTTTTGTCCCTCAGGAAATAAAAGGATGACGAGCACAAGTCAGAGATAATTGCAAAATAATTCAGTAGGTCAACAGGCTATATGATCGATTTCTGCTTTGCTTTCCTTGTTTTCGTATTTTGATCAATGGAAATTTCATAATGATACCTTAAGAATATTTGAAAGACTTTGGGAAGTATTTTTTTTAACAACTGGTAACTGAGCCTGCAATTTCTTCAATCATTTAAAGTTTTAAACTAGGCAGGTTGATACTGTGTGTCAAGGGCTATTTGCAATGGGAAGATGTACTTCGGGTGGCATTGAGGTTATGACAGGCTATAAGAGATCAGTACAAGGATGTAGTTGGCATGGGGTATGGAGGCAATGGGGTGGGTACAGTGACATAGGTTGGCACTGGAGGCATGGGAGACACAGGAGCATAGATTGATGTTATGTGTGTTGAGTAATGTGTTGGGTACAGGATATTAGGCAGCATTAGTTGATACAATTGTGGCAGGTGCAGAACAGGCAGTGTATCTACTTATTCCTTCTGTCTGTAAGAAGCAGACACTGTATAATAATATCTTCTTCCAACACACTTAGCCAAAGTGCGACCCCAACTGTCAATCCGAATTTGGTAGTCAGCATCATTATTCACACACCCATGAGTACCTGCTTGGTTTAAAATATAAACAAAGCCTGGCTGTTAACTGTCAATCAGTATTAACTGGTGCATTCTCCATTGCAACACTTCAATCCGATCAGAGTACTTTTGTCAACCAATTAGAATTCTCCTCACACAGAATAACTGTTATTTTCCCCCTTGAATTGGTACTCCTGCAAGCTGTTCACTCAAACAAAAGTGTCTTTTATTCACTAACACTCAAGTTATGTATTACCAAATAACTACTCTCTTCAGCATGAAAATTAACAGTTGCTGTTAGTTTTTAGTTATTGGGCCACAAAAATGGTTTTTGACTCTTTGTTGAGAGTATTGCCCAGGGTCTCCCACGATTGGAGTTAGCACTCCATGCATGATTATGACCCCGAAATTTGGTGCCACAAAGTCTGGGGTAGCAGTGGCTGCTGTGGGGTTCAGACTGAGTCCCAACTCCAAGGATCTCCATATAAGCTTTTTTTATTGCTAATGGTAACAAGTCCTAATAGACAGTTCTTGGAGGTCTGATTTCTGCTGCAAAAAAAAGGCCCGAAAAAGATAGTTTGAAAATAAACTTTAGAGCTTAAACACTTCACAGTATGCTTGGCCTCACAACCTGCTTAGCAACTAAAGTCTAACCACTCTTCAAAGAGCAACTCATATACCCTTCCCCACACCCACCTCCTAAAGCCCAGATTTTAACTTCGGAATCCTGTGAATTCTAGGGCATTAAAATGAAGTCACACTGAGAAGACATTTGTGAAGACAAGTGTCGGCCATAAGTAAATGAATAAATGCAATAGTCAGAGGAGGGAGCTAAAAAAACTTATTAGGACATATTTGTGGGGCTGTGGAATTCACTGCAAGATTATGGCCAAGGGAGAAACTGTCAAAATTTGGTTGAATGGGCCATGGAAAAGAATGGTGCATAAATGTGATTAAGGCTATGTCCTCGCATGGAGGATAACTTTCAACACAGACTGGTTAAGCAAAATAGCTGTTTGCTTGTTGTAAACTTTGAAAGCAAAGAGAAGTGCTTCATTGGTGCCAAAAGACAAGAATATGCTTCAGTCAATATTATAGCAACAAAACTATCTAATTATGTCAAAAATAAGAAATGTATTTGGCAATAGTTTACAGGGGTAAAATTCCTTCTGTTGATAATTGTTTGTACTTACATTGCTAAAAATGTCACCAGGCAGAATTACTGCCCTCAAATGGAAGAAACCAACAATATTTTTGTCATGATATTTGCATATTTACCCATAATAGCCAGGGCTGTTGCTTTGGTTAAGTATTGTGCCATCGAACTGATCACTTCTAAATTACCACCTTCCAGGTTACATCTGCTTATGATTCCAGTTCCGGAATTAATCCAGTACAGTCTATTTTCAGCATAATCAATAGAAAGACCTGTAATTAAAAGAACAGTTTAAATTATATGCATAACTTAGTGAAAACAGTATTCGAAGACAGACTTGTAGTTTTTAAAAAAATGCATGCAAAACGCTTGGTCTATATGTGAGTTAAAAATCCAAAAATAAATCATTGGACTTCTTTCAAAACTCAATATCGTGAATTACTTTCTGTCACTAGTTACCTGTAAGAAAACCTACAATAATTTTAAAACTTTGGAATAATTTAAATAAATATACCTTAAAAAAATTCAACACTAATGAATTTGCTGCCGAAGGCCAAATACCTTGCCATATATTCTGAAGGTCAAAATTCTAGCTGGATCCCCTAAAGTGAAAGGTGTGTCATGGATGACTTTTTCAGGTTGCAAAAAGACATGCTAATCAGTCACACTCAAAATTCAGTTTCAATGACTCTATTTTACACCTTCCACAGATAGTGTCCGAACTATTGTGCATTTCTAGCATTTTCTGATTCCACTTTAGCTTGTCACCATACACAGAATTACGCTTTGCACTTGAAATTGGTTGTTTTGTGAAAAATCTGAAATTTTGCTGTAGAATAATGGTCAACTAAAGCTCATACACTACCCAAAATCCTCCTTTCCATTATTCTGATGGAAATGCTAACTGCTTAGAAAAAGCGCAATGCAAGACAACACAATACAGCACAGGAACAGGCCCTTAAACCCACTGAGATTGTGTTGATTCCTAATCCTTATGTAGACCCTCTACTTATTGCCCATGCACAGTATCTATCCCTCTGTGCAACTCCTGTTCATGTGTCAATCAAGAAATTTCTTAAACATTGTGAACATGCCTGCTTCCACAATTAATGCTTTCTCCAAATTAATGGGAACAGGAATTTTAGATGGAAAGTTAAGCATTCATACAAACAGCATATAAATACAGGTTGGAGAACAATTATGCCACTGGAAATGTTGCCCTCAGTGCTGGACTTACAAAGTCAGTCCATATTTTGTTTGGTGTAACATAATATGTTGTAATATTACAAAGTCAATTTTTGGAACCTCAGGAGTCAGACAATAAAAACATCTTTTGATCTTACATCCTGTAAATGTGAAATTTATGCCCATATTTTAGCTTCTTATCAACATTTAATGGATGGCCTCAGGATATTTTTGATGGAGAAGTTGAATTTCTCCAGGGCATTTCTTTTTTGCACACCAAAGCTATGTCAGAAAAATGGACAAACACAATCACAACATCACAGAAAGTGGGATTTGTGAAGTGCAAAAAGATCATAATCCATCTTGTTTGTCCCATTCCCCACAGTAAGATGATAGTGACAATGAAGTTGCTAATCAATTAAAACAATATATCTTACTTAATTGGTCTACAAGGCAACAAAAAACATCACGAGGGTGGTCCAAGTAATGGACATCCTTGAGAAATCTAGGTTCAAAGTCACATTTTTTCTTCCAAAAACCATAATATTTACAATAACAGCAACATTCATTTTCAAAATCAATTCTAAGAGATCTTTTGAGCTCCGCCACAAAAGATTTGACTGGTTCTTCCCAATGAAATATTTAAATAATTTTGTAAAGGCATTCTATAGTATCATATTTTCAACAACATATTAGATTCTGTAAATATTTATCAGGAATCAAATTCTAACCTGCTACACTTAACTTTGAACTTAAGTCTAAAAAAGTCCCGTAAATTCAACTCATACTTAAGACGACACAATGTCTAGAGCTATACATTTTACCAAATATTTAAAATAAAACAATTGTGCTTAACATTTAATGTCTTAAAAGTAAATATTTGAAATGTTAATTGAAGAAAAGAATGTTTGCTTTCTCAGACAGAGGTGATGAGACTTTGGAACTCATTGCGGCAGAAAGCTGTGCAGGCCAAGTCATTCAGTGTCTTTAAGACAGGGCTTGACAGGTTCTTGATAGTAAGAGGATTAAGGGTAATGGGAAAAAGGCAGAGAATAGGGTTGAGAAACATATTAGACATGATCGACTGGTGGATCAGATTTGATGGGTGGAATGGCTTAATTCTGCTCCTATATTTATGGTCTTAACAATCAACATGTTAATGGTGCAGAGTAAGATCTTAATGATGCAGAGTTAGCTGGATATTAATAGTTTGTGAACAATGAATTCCATTATTAATGCGCAAATCAGCCAACAACCTATGGCAAGGACAAGATAGCCCACGAGTTGTGGGACAAAATGGTCAGTATCACGCTACTGATAACTTCAAGAAAACTTCATCTTCTGCCTCACATCCAAGTGATTTTCATGAGGTTGCAGCATTTGTACAGAAATTGCACATTAATTGTGCCATAGAAAGTCAAATTGCTGAATTAAAAGCATAAGAACCCTTGAATGACATGATAATTGTCATTGATTGCCATTTAATGTTTCTTATCCAGAAAATGAAATAGAATAAAAATTTGGGACTCTTTCCTACTCTTCCAGTTAGTGAAATCATTTGGATTCTTTTCATACTTTTTTAAAGTGCATATTGCCCTCACTGTACCTAATGACCTCACATTTCCAGTAACTTTGTGAGCAAATATAATGTGGATAAATATGAGGTTATCCAGTTTGGTTGCAAAAACAGGAAGACAGGCTATTAACTGAATGGCAATTGACTCAGTAAAGAGATGTGCAATGGGACCTGGGTGTCCTTGTACTCTGGTTGCTGAAAGTAAGCTTAGAGGTGGAGCAAGCATCAAGGGCATGTTGGCCTTCATAACAAGAGTATTCGAGCACAGGAACAAGGATGTCTTGCTGCAATTGTACAGGGCCTTGCAGAAACCACACATGGAGTACGATGTGCAATTTTGGTCACCTTATCTGAAAAATGATGTTCTGGTTATGGAGGAATTCAACAAAGGTACACTAGACTGATATTTCAGATGGTAGTACTGACATATGAAGACAGATTTGTTCAGTTAGATTGATATTCACTGGAGTTTAGAAGAATGACAGGGAGATCCCATAAAATTTCATAAAATTTTAAGTGGACTAGACAACATTGATGCGGGAAGAATGTTCCTGATAACTGGAGAGTGTTGAATCAGGGGTCACAATTTCAGGATATAGATAAAAACCAAACTTCAGCGAAAACAATCCCAACCTGGTCAATCTCTCCTCATACGTCAGATCTGATGTCCCCGGAATCAGCCTGGTAAACCTTCGCTGCATTCCTTCAAGAGCAAGAACATCCTTCCTCAGAAAAGGATACTAAAATTGCACACAATATTCCAGGAGGGGAAAATTCTCGAATCCATTGTCAAGGATTTTATAGCAGTGTATTTACAAAGCAGTGACAGGATCAGGCAGAGTCAGCATGGATTTATGAAGGGGAAATCATGCTTGACAAATCTCTTGGAATTCCATGAAAATGTAAATAGTAGAGTTGACAAGGGAGAGCCAGTTGCTGTAGTATATTTGGACTTTCAGAAAGCATTTGACAAAGTCCCATGTAAGAGATTAATGTGTAAGATTAAAGTGTATGGGATCGGGGAAAGTGTATTGAGATGGATAGGAAACTGGTTGGCAGAGAGGAAACAAAGAGTAGGAATTAATGGGTCATTTTCAAATTGGCAGGCAGTAACTAGTGGGGTGCATTTGGGATCGGTGCTGGGACCCAGCTATTCACGATATATGTTAATGATTTTGATGAGAGAATGAAATGTAACCTCTCTAAGTTTGCAGATGATACCAAGTTGGGTGGGATCATCCTTCAGCATGATTCGAACTGGTTGGGTGAGTGGGCAAATCAATGGCAGATGCAGTGTAATTTGGATAAATATGAGGTTATTCACTTTGGAAGCAAAAACAAGAAGGCAGATTACTACCTGAATGGCTGTGAATTGGGAGAGGGGAGTGTGCAGTGGGACCTGGGTGTCCTTGTGCACCAGTTGCTGAAGGTAAGCATGCAGGTGCAGCAGGCAGTAAAGAAGACAAATGGTATGTTGGCCTTCATTGCGAAAGATTTTGAGTATAGGAGCAGGGATGTTTTGTTGCAGTTGTACAGGGCCTTGGTGAGACCACACCTGGAATATTGTATACAATTCTGGTATCCTTTTCTGAGGAAGGATGCTCTTGCTCTCGAGGGAGTGCAGCAAAGGTTTACCAGGCTGATTCCAGGGATGGCGGGTCTGATGCATGAGGAGAGATTCTCTAGTTTGGGATTGTTTTTGCTGAAGTTCAGACAAGCGAGGGGGGAATCTCATAGAGACTTTTAAAATTCTAACAGGACTGGACAGGGTAGATGCAGGGAGGATGTTGAGAACCAGGGGTCACAGTATGAGGGACAAAAACAAAGTTGCTGGAAAAGCTCAGCAGTTCTGGCAGCATCTGTGGAGGAGAAAACAGAGTTAACATTTCGGGTCCAGTGACCCTTCCTCAGCACAGTATGAGGGTTCGGGGTAGATGATTTAGGACAGAGATGGGGATACATTTCTTCACCCAAAGAGTGTAGAGCCAGTGGAATTCATTACCACAAGAAGTAGTTGATGTCAAAATATTGAATGTATTCAAGAAGCAACTAGATCTAGCTCTTGGGGTGAATGGGATCAAAGGTTATGACGAGAAAGCAGGATTAGGCTACTGAGTTGGATGATCAGCCATGATTGTGACAAATGGTGGAGCAGGCTCGAAGGGCTGAATGGCCTCCTCCTGCTCCAATCTTCTACGTTTCTATGTTTCTCTGAGGAAGGATCACTCGATCTGAAACATTAACTTTGGTTTCTCTCCACAGATGCTGCTGGACCAGCTGAGCTTTCCCAGAATTTCTATTTTTGTTCAGGATGTGGAGTAGGCCATTGAGGACTGAGACGAGGAGATAGTTCTTCATCCAGTAAGTGGTGAAGCGATGGATTTCTCGGCTACAGAAACTGGCTGAGGCCAAAAGAGTGAATATTTTCAAGAAGGAGTTAGATTTCATTCTTAGGGCTAGAGGGATTAAACGGTATGGGGAGAAGGTGGGAACAAATTACTGAGTTGGATG